GTGCAATTGAAATGAGCCAAAAGCAATATATTGAGAAATTGCTGTTAAGGTTTGGCATGGCAGAATGCAAGCCAAAGGTGACCCCAACGGTACTTGGTTTAGATAAGGTTGTGGATACGAAATCACCTGAATTAAAAGATACAACTCTTTATAGAGCGATAGTTGGGAGCTTAATATATGTGATGACAGGTACAAGGCCTGATTTGTGTTATATAGTCACCCACTGAAGCTAACCTTATTGCTGCAAAACATGTTCTAAGGTATTTGAAAGGCACAATTGAGCAAAGTTTGAGATTCAGGAAATCTGAGAGCACTCTAAAACTTATTGGGTTTTGTGACTCAGATTGGGGAGGTGATGTTTGACTGGCGTAGCATATCTGGCTACGAGGGTCCTTTAGTTTCTTGGAGAAGTCGAAAACAGGCAACTGTTGCACTGTCCACATGTGAGGCAGAGTATATGGCACTGACAGATGCAGTACAGGAAGCCAAGTTCTTAAAGCAGTTGTGTGTTGATCTAAATATTGTTCAGGTAAGTCATAGTGTTCTGGTAAATGGTGACAACCAAGGTGCAATCAATTTAGCTAAGAACCCTATGTACCATAAAAGATCAAAACATATCGATGTGAAGTATCATTTCATTCGAAGTGAAGTTCGAACAGGTAGTATAGTATTAGCATATATTCTAACGGACGAGAATGAAGCAGATATCTTTACAAAGCCAGTTAGTAAAGTCAAGTTAGACAAGCTTGGACCATTTATTTCAGGTAAGTATCATTCAGCATAAGAGCAAGTGGGGGTGTTAACTTATGCTCATAATACTTCATATAATAATAATGTAATTAGTTGTGATTTTAGTTCAGTTAACCAATGATATGATTAAGACAATGAATACAATATATTTCCTGTAATACCATATATAGCATGATTAACAATTATTCTGACCAATTGTAATTTAGCACATTGTAACATAAACGCACTTGATGTAAAATAAAACTTAGTTCTTGTATGCTTCCACAGAGTGTGTCTCTCTTGTAATAAAGAATGACAATTATATAATAATGACAACTGCAACGAACTCAACATCAGTCCCTGCCTGTCGTGTACTGTATGTAAATTATCTAATATTAATTCATCAAAGGTTTAAATTGAAGCTTGCGAGGAAATTGCAGACCTATGGAGCGGAAACTTTTCGGATTTGAACTCAGCGTGTTCGAAAGTACATCGCACAATGAACTTGCACTGCAACCCGAGACACTCACGCAGTAATCTGCGCAGCAGGCGTTTATTTGCTTTCGGGCAGCAATCGGTAAAATATTGTCAGACGGTAAACAAGATTGTCCGGTGGATCCATCCGAACCGTTTGTAAGACTGCTTTGTCGATCGGATGCCGATCGTCAGTATTGAACATTTATGACCATGCCGTCTGCAAACAATTTATATTATAAGCTATCAATATACAGTGTGTAGACAGAGTGAAAATTGATATCTAATTTTCAATTTTGCATTGGAATCAAAATGTTTATTTGGAGGAGGCAATTTTATTAGCATCGTTTTCCCCACTTCGCAAGATGGTGTGATGAATCAAAAAATTGCTTAATCAGGCCAGGAAAAAACATATGCATTGGCTGATGTCCTTGGATCTCTTAAATTTGATTCCATAGTAGCAAAACCAGTGCTGTAGAAGAACCGTAGATGCATAGCAAATATTTAAACATGGCTGATGGTCAGCATAGAACGTGCACTTCCTGACGTAAGGGTATATGTAGAACTTGGTTATGCCAACAATGATGGCGATGACCTCACTGTGGATTTCACTTTAGTTCTTTTCAGCTGGGTTATGAAAGCGGGAAGTATAGTCATCTCCTGATTTGGAATCTTGTGTGAGATGACTGCGCCAGCAACACACAATTCAGGGCCACAGGAAGTTTTGGATCGAAATGCACCAAGATCTTTGAAAGTGGAGTTTTGAGGCTCAGGAAAATTCAGTTTATAGAATACCTGGTCCATTAAGCTTCTTGATTACATGCATGGCTACATGATCCAAAGGTCACATTTTTCGGT